TTATATAATATAAAATTTTTGTTTTAAGGAGGCCCTACAAAAATAGAGTTTTTCTACCTCTCTCCACCTCCCACTGGAGGCTCTGAATCTGAGTTGAATCTTTTGTAGAAAAAGGGAACTGACTTTATTTTCTTTGCCCATGTCTCAGAGGTGAGCTCTGCCGTTAAGTGAATTTAGAGGAAGCAGATGTGTTTTTTTCATGCATGATTACTATCTAAGCATGTAGCAGAAATGCCCGTGTGCTGTCATGCACATCTGCTCGTGAAGCCCAGCTCTGTGGTGTGAGGTGTTTTTCTCTTTGTGGTTTCAAAGCCAAGGCTTGCATGTTGGCTGTAGTTTAAACCCAGAATCACTTGTTTTGGTGTTCAGGGCAGAGGGTGTGAGTGCTCCTGGGTTGGAAGTTGTCTTTCATGTGACATGAAGACTAAGGTAATGTGTCAGAGACGTTTGAGCCACTCTGTAGGAAGGAAACTCAGTCTGTTCTCTTTACAGTTTCTCTGCCTGGCCGTTTTGCCAAAAATATTAATTGCTTTAATAAGACTGTTGTCCACGATCATTTTTTCTCCCTATTTTGGCATCATAAAACCAAAAATTTAAAGGCAAGTATTTCTATGACTTAAAGCAAATGTATAATAAAAAAAACTAAAAACAACAACAGCAATAAAAAAACAGATAATAACAAGTGTTGGCAAAGAGGTGGAAAAATTGGAACCCTCATACACAGCTAATGGGAATGTAAAGTGGTGCAGCCACTGTGGAAAAGTTTGGTGGTTCCTCAAAAAGTTGAACACAGATTTACCATATGATCCATGATTCCACTCCTAAGTATATACCCAAGAGAACTGAAAACTTAGATCCACACAAAAACTTACACACAGATGTTCATAACAGCATTATTCATAATAGCCAAAAAGTAGAAACAATCCAAAAGTCCTCACTGATGAATGGATAAATCACATGTGGTATATCCATACAGTGGAATATTATTAGGCTATAAAGGGAAATGACGTACTGATACATGTCACAATATGGATGAACCTTAAAAAAATTATGCCGAGTAAAAGAAGCCAGTCATAAAGGACCAGCTGATTCCGTTTATTTGAAATGTCCAAAATAGGCAAATCTATAGAGACAGAAGGCAGGTTAGTGGTTGCCAGGAAATGAGAGGGTGGGGGTGGGGTGGGGGAAAGGGAGATGAAGAGTAACTGCTACTGGGTCCAGGGTTCTTTTAGGGAGGACGAAATGTTCTAAAATTGACTGTGGTGATGGTTGCACAACCCTGTGAATATACTAAAATCCATCAAGTTGTACGCTTTAAATGGGTGCATTTTACAGTATTCTAATTATACTCAATAAAGCTGTTTAAAAATCAATAATCAACATACACACACACACACACACACACACACACACACACACAAGCAAATGTATAATAACTTTACAGCAGAAAATGGCAGGCTAAAGGTGTGGCTGTATGGGGCTGGTTTTCCAGTGCCAGGATATCCCAGATGTTCTGCCTTTTTTCCAGGTTCTTCCTTGGGTCACGTTATAACTTGACTGGAAAATGGGGAGCTCAGAGTGGAAAGCACTCCCAGTCTATGAGGTACCCTTTTATGACTGATTACGTTTCCCAAGTTGCATTTTCTGTTTATGTGGTATTTTACCTGGACCTGTGCTTGCTGAGGAAACCCTGGTGGTGTAGTGGTTAAGTGCTATGGCTGCTAACCAAAAGGTTAGCAGTTCAGATCCACCAGGTGCTCCTTGGAAACTCTATGGGGCAGTTCTACTCTGTCCTGTAGGGTTGGTATGAGTCGGAATCGACTCGACAGCCGTGGGTTTGGTGTTTTGGGTTTTGGTGCTTGCTGAGCCTCTCCTGTTCACCGTGCTCCATGTGGTAGTGACGCAGATGGAGGGGGCCCCCCTCCCTGGGGAGGGCACAAAGACTGCAGGAACAGAGCTCTGTGTGCTTTGTCTTCACTGGTTCCAGGGATTCTCATTCTTCCTGAGGTTTCTCCCACGTCCTCCCCTTAGTTTTCCTGAAGCTTTTTTTTTCTTTTTGTTAAATCTCAGAATATTCCTACCATTTTCTGTTTCTTTTATTCTTCTTCACTCTTCTCACCTACCTTGGAATTCTCACCTTCCCCCTTTTAATGATAACCTATTGGAAATTGATGTGCAATTATTAAATCAAAACATAAAATGCAGAAGTCTCTGGGGGTAAGATGCTGGGAAGTGTAAAGGAGGCACAAATCCTTGTATTTTGTTACTTACGGTTAGGCTGAGTTAATTCGTGTCTTTAAGTTGCTCTTTTAGTAACGACTTTGCACATACATAATGACTTTTTCAATCCCTATTTATTTTTACTAATCTCCCTACTTTGCTTTCTAGAAGCTTATTTATTGATCTTAGTAACCAGGTAACATTTTACCATATGAAAATTAATTGGGGGAATTGCAGTATACAAACTTATTGAAATCTATTAATTATTTACTTCAAACAAGGAAGTAACAGTAAGTATGACCCTCTGGAGAATTCAGAGATACTTCAAACTCATTTCCTTTCTTTAAGGGGTTTACCCTTTAGGAGGGGAAAGAGAATATTTAAGGCAGTATAAGATAATTACTGTAGTAGTGACACAAACCAAATGCTAAGATAGTTCAAATAAAAGAAAGGTCACTTATGACTGGGTTGATCAAAGAAGGCTTACAGAGACAAGTGATTATTGGTGTAGGCCTGGAAGTGTGAGCAAAGTATGTTTATAAATGTGTAACTATGTAATTGCTAATGGAGCATACAGTATACTAAATCGAGTTGTTAGACAAAAACAAATCATGCAGTAGTATTTCTTTAATCTAAAAGCATGTTAATCCCCTACATTTTCAAAACACTGTTTTTTAAACAATTTTGTTTTTGTTGAGAATATACACAGCAAACATGCGCACCAGTTAGTGACATTGATTACGTTTTTCAAGTCATGCAACCATTCTCACCTTCCTTTTCTGAGTTGTTCCTCCCCCTTAACATAAACTCATTGGCCCCTAAGGTTCCTTTCTAGTCTTTCAAGTTGTTGTTGACACTTTGATTCCATATACATAGTTCTTAAAAGAGTATAATGCTCAAGACAGACAAGACAGACATGTTTTCCTAGTTAAGCTAAACTATTGTTTAGTTTTAAAAAGACTTCAGGGACTATTTTTGGTTTAGGGGTTAAAGATTTTCTCAGGGCAATAGTTTCAGGGGTTAATCCAGCCACCGTGGCTCCAGAATGTCTGGAGTGCCTGAGAATTTGAAATTCTGTTCTGCATTTTCCCACTTTTGATCTGGATTCTTCTATGGAATCTTTGATCAAAATGTTCAATATGGCAGCCGGGCACCATCCAGTTCTTCTGGTCTCATGGCAAAGGAGGCAGTTGTTCATGTAGGCACTTAGCCACACATTCCATATCCTCCTCCTATCCCTGACTCTTTTTCTTCCTCTGTTGCTCCAAGTGAACAGAGACCAATTATTGTGCCTTGCATTGGCACTTGCAAGCTTTTAAGACCTCAGGCACTTTCCAACAAACTAAGAGGTAGAACCTAAGCACTAAATACGTTATTAGGCCAATTAACTGGAATGTCCCATGAAACCATGGCGTGAAACCTCCAAACCAAGAAACCAAATCCCGTGAGATTTTTTACTGCACATAAGCAGCCTCAGCAGCTACTCTTTTTTTGTCATTGTTGTAAATATATCTGTCACACAACTTTTACCGATTCAACTTTTTAAGGTGTACAACTTATTGACAACAATTACAATAATTGACTGCGCAGCCCTGCCCTTAGTCAATGGAATATTTCCAACACCGTTAACCTCCCCTCTCCCCTCCCTCTCACCCCTGGTAACCATTAATAAACTTCGGTCTCTGTACATTTGCCTTTTTATATAAATGAGGTCATATAATATTTGACCTTTTATGATTGACTTATTTCACTCATTTTACAAGTCTTCTTTGATGTATTATGTACATATATGTATATCTATCATCTGTTGTCTATATAAATGATAGTATAGCACATGACTTATTGTCCTAAGTACATAATAATTATAAATAATAGCTAATATTTAAATAGTATTTTAAATGTGTCAAAACCTGTTCTAAGGGTTTTACACATATTGAGTCATTTAATTTAAAGTACTGTTATTACTCTCCCCTTTTACAGATGGGAAAACTGAGGCATAAGAGATTAGGTAGCTTGTCCAAGGTCACACAGCATGTAAGTGCTGAAGCCAGATCATCAGATCAGGCAGGTTGACTCCAGAGCCTCCTCTTAACCATTGTGTTGTACCACCTCTCTCTGTTTCTCTCTGTCTCTCTGTCTCTCACACACACACGCACACATATATGCAGCTCTTTAGGGAGTATTTATTGAAGAACCACCTTGTGCTAGGCAGTGGGCAAGGCAGATGCGGTCATGGAGCTTACAGTGTGGTGGGAAGACAGACAATGAAACAAGTAATTTAAATAAAGGTGTTGTAACTGGAAAAACAAGGGTTAATGAGAACATATACAAATAGAGATAAGTTGTTTAGATTTCTATTCTCCCTTTTATTATTAAAATATAAAAATCAGAATAAAACAGATTTTTCACTGCAGTTCTTTAAAGGGTATTTTTAGGCTCGTGAACACCTTTGGATACCTTTCCGCGTATTCATGTAGAGGCCTTCTAAGTTTCAGTAACGTCGGAGGACTCAGGATTTGTGCAGCCCATGAATGCAAGCAGCGAGAAACAAAAATGGTTTGGGGGCTGTTCTAGGTGCCTCATAGAAGCACAATGAGAGTGCACTGACTTTGCTCTCCTGTGGAGTCGAAGGATGGCAAGACAGATGAATGGTGAGTACGGAGGAGAAAAGGAGGAGGCTTAATTTTAAGGTCACCTGGGAGCAGCACCTCTTTTCCCTTCTTTATCTACTTGATAAGATGAATCCCTGTTTGTGCCCTTCTTCAGCTGGCAGAGCTCCTGGGCAGAGCTCTCTCTTTGGGTCTTTGGCCACCTTGGGTCATATGTTAGGGTGGGCGCTGTGGCTTCTTTACCCAAGATCTCAGGGCTCATTATGGTGTTCAACAAATACCCCGTGAATGGCTGGAGGTGGCCCTAGTCCAAGGGTTTGTTATCTGAAAATATCAGGTTTACTGGAAAAAAAACGATATTCACAGAATCAAGCTGTGAGGGTTGCTGCCCTGTTTCCTTTTGTTCAATATCCCTGACCAAGGTAATTGCCACGAAATGCAATGCAGTACTGATGGCAATGTAATGTCCTGATTTGTCCCTCAGTGTGGTTAGTTCAGCTAAACAACATATTTAATATAGGCTCCTAATTTTAATCCAAGACCAAAACCAAACCAGATGCCATCAGGTCAATTCCAACTCACGGTGACCTAATGTATGTCAGAGAAGAACTGTGCTCCATAGGGTTTTCAATGGCTGATCTTTCAGTAGTATCGACAGGTACCTCTGTGTGGACTTGAACTGCGAACCTTTTGATGGGCAGCCAAGTGCTTAACTGTTTGCACCACCCAGGGACTCCATTTTCATCCAGTGGTTCTCAAATGTTGACATTCTTTAGAATCACTTGGGCTGCTTGTTCATACTACTGATGCCCAGTGATATCTCTCACAGAGGCTGCAGTTCAGAGAGCCTGGGGTGAGACCCAGTCATCTCTGTTTTTAACAAGCATCCCAGGTGATTCTGATCCATGCTGAAGTCTGGGAATCTTTGCCTTACATGGTATATTTTAAAAGACATCTTAAAACAAATCCTCTTCAGATGGACCAGGATTGTATAATGTCAACTTATAGTCGTGTGCTGAAACTGGCTCGCACCAGCAGGAAAAGAGCCCACTGTTAAATTTTCAGGAATTTTTTGAGCTGGTTGTTAAACACAGCCACCATTAAAAATTTCATCATATAAACTTACAATCAAATACATTATATGAATATCAAAGACAATAAATACTTAAAACTCATTAATTCCTAATGATTTTACTATTATCTGTTATCTCAAAGTTATTTATATCAATTGCATCTGTATGGTGGAAATATGACATAATGGTGTGCTGCTGCACATTTCTTCCCAACTCTGTGTTGAACTTCACGTTGGCAGCTTGATATCCATCATAGTGGAGTATTTACACCACAGAAATCAGCAAATGCTACTGGTTAGGGCTTAATTTATTGTTTTGTTGATTGTCTGGGCTTTATAAATTGATGAATAAAATGTTAACAGTGCAGATTAGACTTAAAAGACTATTGTGTCTGTAGCTGTTACATCGTGAATAGCACAAAAAATTGAGAAAATCTTCTTCAGTATTTGAAAACTATTATCGGATCCAATGAAGTCGCTCACAACATCGACGAATGAGTGAAGTTCCAACATACATAGTGCTGACGTCTAATTAATTTGATAATTTAAGATAATTCGTATTAGTGGGAGAAATAGTTTAACAGTAGACACACATCAGAATAAATAATAATACATTTATTGGGGAAAGGGTTAGCAGATTGGGATGTATGTAACTCCATTTGTCAAATCATGGTTAAACCTCCATCATCAATTGGCTGTGGATATAGGAGTTTGGCAAAAAACAATGAAAGGTTTCGGTGAGAATCAATGAGCTATATGGAATTTACAATGAAGAGTGTTGTATATTTTATTATTATTTGTAAACTGTATGCTACACATCTTTTATGTTAGTAAAATTTATAATAAACTTACATAAGTATATAAAACCCACCCAACCTGTTGCCGTCGAGTCGATTCCAACTCATAGCGACCCTATAGGACCCCATAGAACTGCCCCATAGGGTTTCCAAGGAGCGGCTGGTGGATTCGAACTGCCAACCTTTTGGTTAGCAGCCATAGCTCTTAACCACTGGGCTAATAGGGGTCCACGTAATTATATATATATGTGCATTTCTTTTTTCTGGGGAGCAGTTGTTACACATCGATTAGCACACCGCTTCCTTAGGGGAGCAGTCCCAGAATTGGCCTTTTTTCCTATCGAGACTGTTGACTTTGAATTAAAACATCATGTAGGGTAAGGAAAGTTGTTTTTCCTCATTATACATTTGTTCTTTCTGTCTGCCTCCTGAGACTTGAAACTGTTGGGAGACAATTCTCCATGGTTTTCTCTCATTTCTTCACATCTTGTGAGAGCACAGACATGGATTATCTCTGTCCTGCACTATCTCTTCAGTGATGTTTGTATAGGGAACAGCCTTAAAGACAGAGATCGTGTCTCCCTCTGGAGAAAAGGGAGATTTGTTTACTGTCCGCTATAATGAATCTAGCATCTCCCTCTGGGGCAAAAGTCAGTGGTTTCATTGGCACTGCCCATTATAAAAGATTCACAAAGCTCAGGATTCTGCTCCTGTAATGCCTCACACTGTGTGTGCAGGCATCACCTGGCCTTCCGTGTCACTCTGTGGGATTGGGGTGATGGAAACCAGTGCAAATGCTGATACTCTGGCTACTACCGTTGCTCTGAGTAATAAAGTTCTTTGTCGCAGACCCAGGCGTCTCATGTCGTTTGCCAGCATCCATTAAACTGTGGCACGCTAACTTGTTTGCTTGCAAAACCCAAACCAAAACTGTTGCCGTTGAGTTGATTCCAACTCATAGTGACCCTATCGGACAAAGTAGAACTGCCCCACAGTATTTCCAAGGAGCAGCTGATAGATTTGAACTGCCGACCTTTTGGTCAGCAGCTGAATTCTTTAACCACTGCTCCAACAGGGCTCGCTCCTGTTAGTTACAAGGAAGGTAAAATTTCAGATCTTTCTCGATTCTTGATAGAAATCAGCATTTCTCAACCCTGGTTGCACACTGGAACTGGGGAGCTTTTTAATAAAGAGTAATGTCTGGTCCTGCTCGTGCACTTCTCCCCAAACAAGGAACTGGAATCTCTGAGGATGGGGTCCAGGTGTTAGTCTTTTTTAGAAGGCTCCCCTGGTGGTTGTAATGTGCAGCCATTGTGGAGAACCGTTACTTTAAATGTTTGGGTGAAAAGTAAAAATAACTTGAGTGAATTACCTCAGATTCTCATTATTAAATGCAGACTAAATGTCTTGTCTTGTATGCATTAGACACTTAAGAAGGAAATTAATAGCCTTCTGGAAAGGCATATGAAGAAAATTGCTGGTTTCATTGCCGTGGGGAATGTGTTAAATATGAAAATTTATACACAGTATAGGGATGCTTCTTTGTTCATTTGTGAACTCAGAATAATTGACTCATTTTAAGTCTTTCTTTTGCCTTCTTTCTCGTATCATTATTCCATGGGTGTTTTTTGGCCTTCAATAAAATTATGATTTTGAATACAGAGAAATTATGTTCGAATTTTCTAACAGTCACACATCTGTTGAGGCGTTTCTGTTCTATGATTGTCTCTTACCATTGTTTTAATTTATTATTATCTGTTATATCAGGTATATGTATAGATAGACTTAAACAAAAGGAAGCAGAGTTAAAACCACCTTACAAATTTTTGTGCACTAATTTCTCGAGATATTCCTGAAGTATTCATCTTCCCGTCTACCTCAGGAATTGATGTTCTTTTCCCCAATGCTCATTTATTTTTTATTTACAGTATAAATATAAAACTATATTGTATTTATAGATTATTACTAATCAGAGTATTTAATAAGTAGTATGGAGCCCTGGTGGAGCCCTGGTGGTACAGTGGTTAAGAGCTTGGCTGTCAGCCAAAAGAGCTGCAGTTCGAATCCACCAGCCACTCCTTGGAAACACTATGGGGACAGTTTGACTCTGTCCTCTAGGGTCACTATGTGTCAGAATCGACTCCATGGCAACGGGTTTGTGTTTTATGGAGCCCCAGTGGTGCAGTGGTTATGAGCTCGGCTGCTAACCAAAAAGTCTGTAGTTCAAATTCACCAGCTGCTCCTTGGCAACCCCATGGGGCAGTTCTGCTCTGTCCTGTAAGGTCGCTATGAGTTGGAGTTGACTCAACAGCAACACGTTTTTTATGAAGAGCAAGAATAGCAAATGTTGGGTTACCATGGTAGATCGACAGGCACTTCCAGAGTACTTATTGACTGAAAGAACTTTGTCAAAATTGGAAGTATGGGGGTGAGTGGGAATAATATGTGAGTAATTTTAAACTCTTTATATCATTGAAATAGACCGACGCTGAAGGTCACGCTAGCATTCAGTGCTTTGGCGTAATTCCTGGACAAGTTAATCATCTGGCCCACCTGTACTGTACTCCTAGCTTTATCTGTCCCAGTACAGGTCTCTCAACAAATGTTTTGGGATTCTTTGGGCTTCTTGAGACTTGTGATGCCTTGTGATGTGACAGATCTGAAAACAATTATCCTGTCCCATGGTCATCATCGTTAATAGTCTTTGCACCAAGTGTAAGCAAAGAGCATTGATTTAGACCAGGGGTTCTCAGCCTGGGCACTGTTGACATTTTGGCCCAGATAATTCTTAGTGTACGTGCATTGTAGGATGTTCGGCAGTATCCCTGACCTCCACCCACTAGGTGCCAGTAGCACCTCCAAAGTTGAGATAACCAAAAATATCTCTAGACCTTGACAAAGGTCCCCAGGGGAACAAAAATTGGCCCTATGGGAGAACCACTGCTTTAGATGTTGTCAAGTCCACTCCCCCTAATAAACAAAGTGGGTACCTTTTAGCTACTCATTCCTTTCCCACCATCTCCCTCACCATCAGTTTCATTCTCCATGCGGCAAGCGTTTCAATGATATTAAAATTGTACACATGACTTGAGGGGGCTTAAAATCTAGCACTCATCATCATCCAGTGTAGAGCAGAATCTTTTCGGTGTGGGTCCCAGGATAAGTCTCTTTTG